AACGATAAATTATCATATTTAACTGAAACTGAGACGATAAATTATAAATTTTTTTAAATTTATAAAATTTAAAATATATTATTTAACTAATTCAATTTAAAATTACACTGTTATTTTATGATATTATAAGAAATTTATATCATCCTCCTATAATTAGCAAAAAATCAATTTCATCATCATTATTTTATATATTAACTTGTTAAGAAATAAATAAAAAAACATTAAATTTTAATTTTCTTAAATTAAGTTTTCATTCAATTTCCCAATAGATTTTTTTTTTACTAACCTACTTGGGTATGTACGGACATTTGGTTACGCGAACATCATCACACTTTTTACTAGACGTAAAGCCTAAGTTTTGCACAATAATTGTCCATTACTTTAGGGGTAAAAAATTACTGTCAGGAAATTAATATTTATATGACCATTTTTCTGTTTAAATTCCTTTTTTTTTTAAATAAATTCTAAAAATATTTTTACTAAAAATTTAAGATTTTATTAAAACTACATAAAAATATGATTACATTATATTTAAGCATTAAGTAACAAAATACTTTATTAAATTAAATATAAAAATATTTATTCTAATTTTTAATTTATTGTAACTATCCTACTTATAAAAATATAAATGTGATTGAATATTATTTTTGTTTATAATATAATAAGTTTATTAAGACTTAATTTATATTTATCAATACAATTTTACTAATGTAAAAATAAATTAAGTATTCGATTAAAATGAATTAAATATTATATTAAATTTTTACAAAACCTCACCAACAATATTATTGAGTTTAGTGCCATGAGCTTGTCACTCTAGTGAGGACTCTACAATATTTAGAAATTAATTCAATTTTAAAGATTAATCTTTCGTAAAATTAAATATTTGTTCATTCGTATTAATAAAAGAGTTAAGTTATATATCTTAAATGTATATTTGGAATTTATAATTCTTATAACAAAGAGCAATGCGTGATGCTAAATCATCAAAATATACATAAAATACTAATTGTACGTCAATATTATTTTTAATTTTCTTTTATTTATCAAAAATATTTTATAAACTCAAT